CGTTCACAAATTCGTCTCACTTTCAAATTTTCCCGCATGTTATTTGTGATCGGGAAAAGAAAAAATTCCTCTTTGAATGTATTGTCCGACATTTCTTCGCATTTTCAAGACTGCAAATAATTCAAAAATTGTTAAATTGTTTTCCTTCTTTTTTTCTGCTAGGTTCATGATCCAAGGAGGTGATGTGGTGAACAAGGATGGGACAGGAAGACCTTGGTCTGCACTCGGTACCCCGATGTTTGAGGATGAAGTGTTTGCCGTGAACCACACCGTCGCGGGTTTCGTTTCTATGGCGAATTCCGGCCCGGACACGAATGCTTGTCAGTTTTTCATCACCGTAGGTGGCGCTCCTTGGCTGGACGGGAAGAACGTGGCATTTGGAAAGGTGAAGTTTCGTATTTATTCCGAAGGAGAGGGACAGAATCAGTCGCTTGAATTGCTTTTGTTAATGATGTACGGTACTGTACTGTTGTGTACTGTATTTACTCGAATTCCACGGGCCATTGCGTAAGATTCGACATTATTGTTTTCGTGATAGGTTTTTGAGTAAATCATGTCGAGTCAACCCTATTCTGTATCTTATTTAATTTTCTTATTTTGTATCTGACTTGCTCCCCATCCTTCGTGACAAAATGTTGGAAATTAAATGCGTCGGAATCCAAAATTTGACTAGAATTGAACCTTATTTCTAAATGATTCAAGAGTTGTTCCCATGGTTGATTGAACAACATGGCCCTTACTAAATCGAAAGAAAGATTTTTCTTCGGAATTGTCTTCACCGTTTTGATGAATGTTCGTATTTTTGAAAAAAAAGGTTGTTGCTGGGATGGACGTGGTGTATGCAGTGACAGACATAAAAACGGATTGGAATGACAAACCTCACGAAGATGTCGTTGTCGTCGACTCTGGTCTTCTTCCACTGAGTGGGCATTATGAAATCCCTGAGGACCCTTACGAGTGAGTTGTTCAACATGTGCTCGGAAAATAATTCGGGATGGTTTTTATGAAGTCATGCGATTTTTTGTACATTTTTCTTGTGATTATAATATATTTATATAGTAATTTCTCATGAATGCACGGTATTTGTATTGTGAGGTATTTTTTGAGTTCAGAAGAAGAAAAAAAAAAAAAAAATATATATATATATATATCGCATTGTTTTTTTTTTNTGAAGGGAACTAAATATTAAATGGCTGCAGATATTCCCTGTGGACAATGCGCGGAAGGTTGTCTTATCAAATGGAAATGGATGCTCTCATGGAAGTTCCAGCGCTGATGCTCCTCAGGGCCAACACTAAGCCTTGCTTCCTGTGACATTTCCGCCAGTTTAGAGTACAGAAGAACTTCTCTTTAGAGGCATTTTTGCTGTGAAATATGAAATGATATCATTTACATCGAATGAAGTGGCTGCCCGAGTCAATTTTTGTGAAATCCGTTCTGCGAGTCGTCCATTATCCAAGGTACCACTCCGTACGTATTAAAAAAAAAAATGTATTCCTGACTAGAAAACCATTGCGTGTTGAATTTTTGAGGGAGTATTTTTCCTTATTCCTGGAAAAGCACTCCAACCACACCCCAAATGGCGAGGATTAAATTAACGAAATGACAGGGAAATTTTCTCTCGTACATTTTTTTTTCTTATGAAATGAAAAAAAAAAATCCTGATTTTTTGATGGTTGAAGTAAATCTAATTCATCGAAGATGACATCGCACGACTTTCGTATGGCATCCCGCGTATATTTCGTTAATCTTTATTTTCCGTTCAAGTGTGCAGTATTTATGAAATTCGTTTGATCTAATGTTCTTCACTTTTATTTTAATGCTGCCGAAGTTTGTGGGAATGGTTCAAAGCTGCTTCCATCCCGCTGTCTTGGTCGCTGGGCGTCGTCTCTATTTTTCATTACATGTATCGGAAATTGAACGTCGCTTTCCCTGAATGATAAACTTCGGGTTTCCTTGTCCAAATTCCGTCAGTTTGAAAAGCAATAAAAAAAATGATTTCATTCCACGCTTCAGGGTGAATTTTTAGCTGATAAATGGTAGTCAGTTATTGTTGAGCACAAAGGATTTTTATTTTTGTGGAATGTTGACTTATTTGCAATGAGCACCGGTATTAGTTGTGCTAGTTTATTTAAGAATTAGTCGTTTTCGTTGATGAATGTTATTGACACATTTTTGAAAGTATGCATTTCACATTTGTTTTAGGCAATGGAATGTGCATTCGGAACACAAATATTTGGATGACAGGAATCTGGATTTTCTGCTGTTAGTATCAAGCTTCATTTCAAGTGAGTTATCCATGTATAAGTGCTCATTTCAATGGGGTTATGTCAAATTTATTTTGTCCCTGTCT